TCATCGCAGACTTATTAAACTATTAGTTGTTAGTTTTTTATTATATCGGGGTTGAGAACTATGAATTAGTGAACGTTCAATCTCTCTTCCCACGACAAGTTGACTTAACATCAATGAAGGCTGCCCTGTAAACCTGTGTGTACACAATACTTCTCATTTTATTGTGGCTCTTGCACTGAAAAAATAATGTTAAGTACCTGGGGTTGTTTGGCTTAAACACTTGCGTTTATCAAAGTAACTATAATTACCTTGGCGACCCCTTTAGGCTCTGTCGAACTTCACCCTCTTTCGAGAGATTCTCTTCCAATTGCTAAACCAAACCTTGAGTTGGCCTATCAATAGTGAATTGGATTACGCCACGGACTCGGAAGATGAGGAGATTACTTTCAGTCACGCACGTAAGGATCTCATCCGCCAAAAGTCGACGCGTTGGAAGTCGACAGGTCGCATGGGGGTACAGATGAAGCGCACACGCCATGAGATCAGTCACAAGTCGGCACAGGACGAAATGAGACGTAGTCACAGACGCCTCTGGATGCACATTGCCGGCATTCTCACCTGTGGTCGTCTTCCTAAGTCCCAGAGGGCCGCTGTTGTCCGGTCAGTTTCTCCTCCATACTGGCCCTCCCACAGACCGTCTGATTGCTTTACTAGAGCATGATGCGAGTTGGATCATGTCGCATCTCATCGTCCACTGTTTGGCCTAGCTCTCATTGCATGAATGCCTCTGCAGCGTTTGACGAATGGCAGCACAAAGTACCATTCTGCCCTATATTTTGAATGTAACCCAGAACAATTAAAGGGAGATTGATGAGCTCTACTAGCTAAATGCCAAAAAATCTCTTCTGCATAGGATTAACTATCTGTATGATGGCAGAACATTAAATTGCTACATTTTTTCGCATAATTGAATTATCTCAACCTTCAAACTAACAGCCACATTCGTCAGTTTGCACCTCCGCGGTCTTTACGGTTCTGCGAAGATAGAGTTGTTACGGCTCCTGCCATAACCAGGACCTATCCGCCATCTCTGCTAGAGTGGCGAGTAAACTACACGGGAACGAACATGGCTCTCTATCTCACCTATCCCGATGGTACGTTACTCTCGAAGACCTCCCAAAGCCAGTGACGCAGGTCTGGTGTTCCTAACCCAAAAGCTGCACTGACCGCAATTGAGCTTCTGCTTCTGAAGCTGATACCAAAGAAATTTTGCGCAAATCAATTTGATCGGCGTTTAGGAATGCTAAATCGAGCTAACCAAACAATTTTACTCATTTAGTAAGTCCATAGCACCAAGGTAAAATAGGGCATGCTCAAGTCAATACTTATCCAAAAGAGTACCCTTTGTGCCTACGGTCTTCCATTTTTAAACGACTAGCCCATCGGGTGGTGTGAATGCTTTAGTTTTGCAGTTTCCTCCAATCCCAACCTTCCAGTGCAGACACAGAAGCCACTATTCGAACACAGATTGTGAAGTCTGGGCCTGGTTTTCTGATTCTAAAGCTCACCTTTTTGTTGCAGGCACTACTGCTAACATACATACAGTCTGCTTCACCAGAGCAGACGAACTTGCCAATCAGGCCATCAGTTTGAAGTACGTTTCCGCAGTTTCCTTCTACGTACCAATTGTACTGATCCTTCGCTCTTTTGGTTGCAACCAACTAAAATTTTCATTGGTTAGCATGAAAGAATACGCGATGGATAATTCTTAGTTCTTTGCAAAATGTAACCCTTAGTTTCCGAAAAGCAGCCTCAAAGCAGCATGAATTGTCACATCTCGAAATAGCCGTCTGTAGTTTGCGAAGAAAGCGTTTGATCCAATAGTATGTTTAAAATCATAATAGTATACCAGGTGTGAAATGAATCGCTGTTTGTCCCCTTCTTCAGAGCTAAGACAGCACGTCTGGGTCGTGGATGGACGGTGAATTTTTACCGCAAAGGCGGAGTGATTGAGCCGAGCGGGCATAGGTATGTGATGGATATGCTGAGCGCCACGGAGCTTCCTTCTGACTGGTTTGCACTCTCGGGCCTTGGTTACGACCAAAACTTCCTGGCCACCACGATGGACCCCTCGGAGTATGCTCTTGGTCCGCCGTTCGTTGGCACTCTCCGCGACAACGATGCATACAAGTCCGCGTAAGAATCAGCACCGTAGCCTACCACAAATGCATTATAATTTGGGCTTAAATTATACAATACAATCTCTGCCCTTTTGTTTCATTTCCTTTCTTATAGGCGAAACTTTGATCGAAGTGTACAGATGCGTTACCCATCTCTTGACAGACGGCGTCATCAAATGAATGGGAGCGCGGCGAGGTATGTAATCATGTCACTTGGAGCGCTCATTGTCATCCCTTAAAGTGTCCTTAATGACTCATGACGAATTGAAGTTGGCTCTTGAGGTTTGACGCTTGTGTAACAGTAATTTCGACTCAAGGCTGATGGGTCAAGCCGGGACTGAGATTGCATTGCATCCTCCTTTAGACCGCCCATCAGTAGCACCGGTGGAGAGGGCTCTTGGTCTCGAAAAGTGAGTGATACCTTGGCGTCCTCCACCCACGGCATGAGCGATACTGCAGTAAGTTAGTCCAAACTCTCATCCTATCGAGTTGAGTTAGTTGAATTTTCTTTTCAAAGCTTTAATGCGCTTTAAAAATTATGAGTTATTGTATAGATTGGACTAGTTCCACCGCAAGTGTGATTTTTTCATCACAACCTCTTCCTGTATGCAAATACGTCCGTTTATTATTTTGCTTTAACTTGCCAAACACTTTTTGCCGAAACAAATTTCACCTTAGACACTAAAATAGGTGCGGTGTTTCACACTCCCTTCTCTGTGATATTTTCCGCACAGCAGCAACCGCAACTAACGCGTAACATCTCGGCGGCAGCGAGAGAGGCGGGTTGGCTGCAAGCCGTGAGGAAGATGGCTGCTAAGCGCTACGATCCGCCGAAGCAGCGCATGAGCATTCGACGGAAACGCAGTGTTAAGGGTAGTGCTGGGAGCGGCGGTGGGAGTGGTGGACTCTCGAAAGTGAAGCTGCCGAGGGCGGCCAGTGTGGCAGCACTGGATGAGGACGAAGGTGTAACAGTGCAAGCCGACGCCTCTGCACCTCCTGGTCCACCTATTGGTTTACCTGGCGCCGCCGGCACCTTGACCGGATACCCCCCACACGAGATGCGCTACTTCACCTATAAGCACGCCCGGTGGTCTCTACGTGTTCGGAAGGAGGTAATAGATCCTTTTTTTCATCCTCTTCCAGCTTAGCAATGCCATTATCTTCCAGTATTGTGAAATTGGGTTGCAAACACTTCCAGGGTAGTAAGGGGAATGGAATTTGCCAGTGGTTTATTAAAATAAGAAACTTGCAGCTGTATCGTACAGAGTGCCTTCAAATGTAGATCACAAAAATTGTGC